TTAGTTCAAAAATTCTCATTAGTTCTCAACAAAAAGAATAGTTATTGTCAAATGAAAATAATGCTGATCAAAATTATTATTAAGGATGGGATTTAACACAGAGTAAGATAAACAACTTTTAAGAGTAAATTTTCAGAAAAAATATCATTAAAATAAAATGTCAAGTTTATAAAAGAACAAGATCGAGGTGTGTCGTATTTAATATGTCTGTCTAGCAAATATATATATACTCACACACAGACATATGGAAGTATACAATACCCTATTTTTGGTTTTGCAATCACAGACCATCTAAAGCAAACAAAAAATAACATATTCTCTAGCATCCACAGGATTTCTTTTATAGATGAACAAACCCCACATACTTTCTTTCCTGATTTCTTTTAAATTGAGCAATTTTAAAATGAGCAAATACATTGTAATAAATACAGCATACTTCTGGTTTTAATATTGCATTTAAAATAATTTTTTCACTCTGTGAATACATACACAGGAACCTCAAAACCTGACAAGAAACCGGTAATGATGTTAGCTAGTATTCCACTGGTAGAGGAATCTTAATTTAAACAATTTACTTGCAGGAGCTCAGCAAGATTCCTCACAATACACACATCAACATTCTTCTGTTCATTTTCCTGACACAACTATTTTTTCTGGATCCCTGCTTTACAAGTTATGTCTAAATTTTCTTACTTGCTCTTGAATTCACACAGATTGTTTGAAACATACTTGATGTGTATCCTCTATATTATAATACACTTCTAACCTTACCCTGATATTTCAGTTTGTAGTTTAATTTTAAGTCACGATGTCCAATAAATTTTCCTCTTATAAGAGTTAAAGGTGTTTGTTTTTAAGCAGTTTGTACTAACAACCGTATCAAAAATGCACGATATTAATGTAGCAATGAAAAAAAGTTGGAAAACTCTTACATAAGATGGCTGCTTTTGTTCTTGAAATTACTGAGCCAGACTGCCATCTATTGGAAAATAAATTTCTTTAAATGATACTTTTTTTAAAAAAAACCTGAAGCTACTGTAAGCTATTGTCAAAAGCTAATTTTGCTAGCAACGATACTTAAGACAGCTTGATTTTTTACAAGGAAACACCCAAGTTAAACTGAACTGTGATACTATCAAGGATTTTACTACATCTTTTTCCCCCTCATGTTTTCTGGAACATGTTTTGAAGCACAGCTCCTTTTCTGACTCGCTGAACAATCAAATCCTAGTTATTTAGAGTGAAAGTTTTGTATTCAGCAAACATATGTCAGCACTGAGAAAGGTCTAAGTAGAAAGTTTTCCCAGCTCCCTTGTACAGCGGCTATTGGGGCTTTCTGTATCTTTGCATAGACAGGAGAACTAAAGAGTGTATTCAAGATAAAAGAGCCAAAAAGGGGGAAAAAACAAGCAGATAGGAACTGGGAGTAAAAAAGAAATCTATGAATCCACCATCAACCCCACGGAGTGTACAAGCCTTTGAGGAAAATGGGCAATTCCAACCAAAATGATGCTGAGGTATATAAATGTCTTTTCATCGCTCTCTCTTCAAGTAGCATAACAACCCACATTTCCAATTGCAGAATTCTGTTCAATCTGGACTTCAGTTTTATGGATACAATGAACAGTGGGTTATGCCTGCTACCTCATAATACACGTGTTTTAATGACTGGCGAAGACAGACTAGGAAACATGGAATGAGTATTTTACAAGACAGTACATCAGAAGTACAGCAAAACACAACCAGAGTTGCAAAATCAAGGACTAAAATAATAGTTTCCACTGTACCTTTAACATGACTTTCTTTTGTTTATTCCTTATAATGTACTCTTCAAATAAAAGATGATATTAACTTATTCTCATCTGACTTGGTGCAATTCATCAAACAAGCATTCACAGTTTTCACTGTCTTCATTAATTGCTCTCCTCATTCAGTAAGCCAACATATCATGCTTTTCCAGAAACCCAAAATTTTCCCCATTTCCCTTCCAACTTTAAGAACGGAATTATCCCGTGGGGACATTTTTATTCATCTCTTCCTTTTCACATCTACATTGTGGTGTCTATTCTCATTCTTCTTGCTTTTTCTTACTGCTCCATCGTACCCTTCCAGATGTTCATGCCTCCTAAGCATCAAAATCCTGCCCTTCAGTTTTCCTGTTCATCTCTTCCATGTCCGGAGGAAACTTGAGAGGCAACACAGAGTTGACTAGTAATTTGGAATTAAGGTGACTAAACTCAAACTTTTCATCTAGAAAGAGGTCTGAGGCCAGAAAAAGAACAGAATTTGCTAATGAATACAGCATCCTTACTAAGATCAGTAAGTCCTGCTCTTTCAAGTAAAAGAGATTGGCACTTAAATTCAGGAGACAATTCCGGGCTGTAGATCTTAGGTAGATAGACACTCCTTTCTGCAGTCCTGAATCAATCTAAAACTTATTTAGCCATAGCAGTACCAGGGTGATTGGGCCCTCTTCAACAGAATCAGTTGTTAAAGCAATGCTTTGAAATACACTCTGCTTCCATAAGCCTTCTCTTTCACACATCCACGTTATCCTCAGGAAGTGGCTCCTAATGCTCCTTGCTCCAACTTACTAAGCTTTTGACCCACAAGCTACTATTCCAAACAGAAATCCCCGTGTCTTGGCTTCCTATGTCTCTGAAATGCTGTTGCATGATGCAAAGAATGCAGATATCTCCTAGCAGACAGTTCTTTTGCAGAATGTAAGGGCCATGAGGTGTCATGACAGGTTTTAGAACCTGTTCAGATCACCAGACTACAGGCAAGGTTGAAAAGCCTGCACCAGTCATTGTCTCTGGAACCAACATTTGTCCAGCAAATGGCATCACCTGACACATTACCAACAGGGACCTGACTTCTACACCTCTTCAGAGATGATGTTGGCACAGCAAGCAAAGAAAGTTAGGGGGAAATCTGCTAATTTGAACCACAAGTAACTTCTTACTTGTAGTGGTACACCAGGTGCAATTCTCTCCCCTGTGCTGGAGTTGATAACAGAGAAAGACAACATTTGGTCCCACAGGCAGAAAGAATCTGTGCTCCATTGCTACCACACTTGTGTGTTTCCCCTGATTCCATCGGGTCTTGGCATGTGAGACAGCAGTGAATATGAGCCAAATAAATGCAGACAACAGAGAAGACTCTACTTACCCTACTGAGATTTTTACAGAAGCTTCCCAGGAAGGAGAAAACTAAAGTCAGAAGAAGCTGTAAGAATCTTTCTCTTCTTTAATACATATCCAAGAAATCTATTTCTGACTCTCCATATCTATATATGTCTCCACTTATCTCTTTCTGTCTGTATCTCCATGTTCTTATAAAAATATTCATTTAAGTTTCTTCAATCATTACCCTACTGACAACGCTTCTTCCACTACCATGCTTGCTGGTCCTGCCCTCAGAGCAGTTTGGTAGCATTCACCATTGCACCCATTTTCAGAGCTAAACATCTCTCCATTTTAGTGCTTCTTCCTAATTACTCTTTGACGGCTCCTTGCAGTGCATCTGTGTTTTCATATAACCCATGCTCTATACAGGGAGTCTACACACCAAGGCAAGGCAGTGTGTTAAAAACTAAAAGACAATGTGTCAAAACTGGGAGCCACTTCCTCTTTTTAATGCAGTTTAGCCAGGTAGCAACTGAACAGAGTGACCTTAAAATATTTTAAAAGGATGAAATGGATTATCTAGATCAAACAGAAAAATCCCACATCACAGTGCTCCAGCAGGAGAGAGTCACAACATGCTTTAAGCAGTTCCCACTTTTGAAGACTTGGCATCTAATTCAACATACAAGTAGATGAAATCTCAAAAACTGTATTGCCTAATTTACCTTTGTATTTGCCTGCAACATGTAAATTACAGAATTAGTGACTGAATACTTCCCGTTCACTGTATTTCATTTAGGTATGTAAAAATTTCAGTCTGACTACACAGAATCATACGGATTACATTTTCCACAAAACAGCTGCTGAGCAGATTTAAATAAGAGTTAGCACCTAAAGACAGAGAAATACTAAAAAGATGTATAGAAATGCTTAAATCAGATCAGTACCTTGTTCAGACTGACTTCAAAAAGAGTTATATATCTAATCATTCAAACATCTAGAAGGGCTTTACAAAAGTATCTGCTGTATTTCATGGCACTAACCATGTTGTAAATCTCATTCTGTCCACATATATTGTAACAAATCCTCCAGAACATAAAAGTCCTTAACTTGCCATGGTTTTTACCACATATAAGAGCATAATTTCTCTTAACTTATGAAGAACATTAATTGAAATTTAGCACTTAGCATTCTCCCTTCTGTTCTCTGCTTTATTCCCTAGGCAATCCCATTTACTTTACTTATTGAGGAAGATAATTCAATTTTTTTTAAAAAAAAGATAAAAAAAGCCTTGTTACACTGCAAGGAGAAAATGAATCCTAGAGCACTTCATGCATAGGATTAGTAGTAATAAAGTCATATTTTCAACTGTAGTTGGAAATCACTGAAGTATCACAACCGCAACAATCTTCTGTATTAGAGACTCAGTCTTTAACACCATTAGGCTATCGGGAAAGCTGTACACTAATAAAATGTATAGGAATCATAGCTGAAGCTTCTTAGCTTCCTCTTTTGGGGGGCATTTTCAACCAGATACTGCAAGCATTTAGGCTTTGCTATAGTACTGAGAACACCGATTTCACCTGATTTCTTGCACTCCCCACACTCAGAAGAACAACTAACCTGAACTTTCGGTTATGTTAGTGGGGCCATAAAAGCCATTCAGAGGTGTGGCAAGCAATTTGTAAAATAAGGGAATTTTTAAAATAAGGGAAACATAAAATTTTAAACCTGTAAGGAGCACACGATTTTTTTTTTTATTATTATGTTAGACTTGTACTATTCTCCCTCTTGTACTATTTCTTTCTTGAACGTACCACAAATAAAGCAGATATAACTCAATATATTGTCTTTGTATCCCATCTTACTTACTACATTAAGCTTGGTTTGGCTTCCACTGGTCATAAGTTCTTCCTCTGATACTTTACTAAAATTGTCCAGATAATGGTCTGATATTGTATGAGACAGGTCTTCAAAAGAGTATTCCTTTTCTTGGCACAATTTGATTTCATCTAAGAGCTTTGATAATTCTCCAGTCACAGCTTCACCTTTAAAAACAGACACACCATTAGTCAATAATTAGTATGCCAGGGGTAATTTATGGCCAAAAATGAAATGCATATTCTTTAAGCTTATTGAGTATCTGTTATTTTCCATGCCTTATCATCTAAACAGCGATCTTCATGCACAATTTTCCTCTCAAAAATAACAGCATCTCATTCCAAAATGGGAAACAATGGAGGTAATCTACACACTTCTGCATTTCCCTATACCCTGCATTTAATCAGGATGAATTACAACACACATTTACACTTTCTCCGTTTTCTAATCCTTAAAATTGGATAGAAATAGCAACTATCTAAGAATATAAAATTAATTGAGGAAAGGAAAGTTTCTACAAACATACAAAATCAGTGTCCCATATTCTGCTTTCGGTTCATGTTTGCTGCTATGATCAACTAATACACTCCATCGGTTCCATAAACCTTAAGTAGTTTAGAACTGAGTTTCTGAGCCTATACATCTGTCCCATCACAGTAGCTATGCTTTATAAACAATTCCTGCTCACTTTCTCAGGATTAAATAGAATGGTGGAAGAATATACTAGGCAAACCCCAGAAATTTAAAACATGCCTCCCTACAGCAGTCTACCGGAAACCCATGTTTAAGGCATTCTATATTGTGTTTCATGTTTTCTCCTTAATTTATCAGATATCTTCAGTTCAGAAATCCACCAGAATAGTAAGACAATGTTCTTTATATGTCTACACTAACTGTGGGCGACTACCAGAAATATGAATAGTAATAAGTATTATAATCACAACGAGCGGTAACTTTTCTGCAAATTGCTCACTGGCAGCAGCGAGACCTCCGCAGAGTAAAAAGCTACTTTTTACGAACAACTGCATTAGGTTCTGATAATCTATTGCACGTGTGTTACACGACTATCTTCAGTAAAAACACTGAAAATATTAATGAAATTCAAGTTTTTCCAGGAGAAAACAGTAAACCTAGAAGTGGTTTCTAAGATTCATACTGCTGGGAACTACAGTCCTTATATCTGCTTAGTTTAGGCTCCTTTTATGTAATTTTTCTTCATAGTCACTGTTTGTTATACTAAGGTAAATATAAATACGCTAAGGTATTTTTAAAATTACAACTGTGGCCAGTTATGACTGAAATTTTCAGAGCCAAGAACAGAAGTTGTTAGTTAAAATCATCTAACTGCTTTTTAATAGCTAAGTAACAGAGATTTTGCATTCAAAACTCTTACTACTCTTAGTAACCTTGCACAAATTTGGAAATTAAGCAAAGATATAATCAGGTTTATTTATAGTCTGCTTTTTAATTAGAAAATTGAAATTATTTGAGATTAATATTATAATACATTAAAATTTGAAGCAAAATACCTAAATACTAAGCAAAAAAATCTACAACCATGACACAGTGCCCTACAATAAAACAGGACTACTGTTTCCTACATAATTATGTTCATGTCCCCAATTCTATGTTCTCCCACATATGACCTGCAATATTTTTTACTGGGTAAGAATCAATTCTGCGTGACAGAACTGGAATGCCAAGGATGTCAACTGACCTGTGATTAAGTGTACGCTAACTAGCTGGCTGATTGCTGTTGGAATGAATACACAGAAGACAAATTTTTCCTATTTCTTTCAGTGCAGGTACTAATTAAATTCGCTATCCTCTATCCAGCTACTATTTTCATGAAAGTCACAGAAAGGTAATTGATACTGCTATACCTCATACAAATCTAGTTTAAATTATTTGAAATTAGATTGTTGGAGAATGGCAGACAGATGGATGGGAAGCACAACCAAGTAAAATTTCTTTCCTTTAGAATAAGATTACACAACAGACAAGCAAAAGCCAGCTAGCACATTTTACAGTATTCATACCTTGAAAGTGGAAAAAAGAATACAAGATCATAATCTTATAATTAAGAAATAAAATATATTAAAAGTATTTACTACTTAATTTCAGGACAGACATTTCTGTTTCATAGGGTGGTTGACTTCATGGTTCTACTAATTTCAGAGGAACTATTTATCGTCATACACCGTCTGCTAAGTACTCCAGTGGGAAGCATGAATGGAACTAGAGCTTTTGTTTACTGTCACCATGAAGATCATAATCTGTCATGCAGCAGGAAACTTAGTTTTCTCATGAAAGAAAACTCCCCCTGTAAACATGCTTAAACAAATAAACAAAACTCAGAAAAAACCCACCCAACAAACCAACCAACCAAAAAACAGACCAAAAAAAAACCCCACTCAGCTTCTAAGAACAGTTTAATTATTTGCATTTGCCATCAGCCAATTCCATTTACTTTGGATGATTACAGAAAGCAGAAGTTTGGTTCTACAGGGGGACACTGAGGTGCTGGAGAGGATACAAAGGCGGGCTACCAAGCTCGTAAAGGGCTTAGAATGTAAGTCCTCTGAGGAAAGGCTGAGGGATCTGGGGCTGTTTTAGCCTAGAGAAGAGGATATTGAGGGGAGACCTCATCATTCTCTACAACTGCCTGAAGGGAGGTTGTAGATAGGTGGGGGTTGGTCTGTTCTCCCTGCTGGAGAGTGATAGGACGAGGGGAACACCAGAGGAGGTTCCGGTTAGATATTAGGAAGAATTTCTTTACTGAAAGGGTTGTCAGCCATTGGAACAGGCTGCCCAGGGAGGTGGTTGAGTCACTGTCCCTGGAGGTGTTTAAGAGATGGGTGGATGTTGCATTGGGGGGAAGTGGTTAACATGTTGATAGGGCGGCGACAAAGGCTGATGATCTTCTAGGTCTCTTCCAGCTGATACGATTCTGTGATGACTTCCATGGAAAAGCAGGATACCACATTCAGGAAATGCCCTATTTAAGCGGTGTGGTGTGTAGAGAGTACATCAGAACATAAGATGAAAGCACATGCAAACATCAGTAGTAATTATGGCATATGAAAGATGCATTAGAAGATGAACGAAAGGGCAGCACACACACAATCTTCTTAAGAGGCATTCAGAGGTAATACAGTTGGTAGAGGTATTCACAGAGAAAGATAAAGTAAATTTAATACGTAACTTGAGTATGACAATGTCTGCAAAGTATTTTGAAATATCTAATACTCCTTTGTTTTACTTGATTATGAAATGTGTAAGGTCAATAAATTATAAAGATTTAAGATCAAATAATGTAATACACTGTAATCCACCAGTGACTCATCCTTTTTGAGAATACAGCTCCTTGCCTTCCTATACAACATGGATTACACTGTATGTAGTCAAGGTAGGTAATTCATGATGGAAAAAAGCTACTGTATCAATAACTTTAATCTCTCTTTTTCATTTTGTATGTTTGTTGAATGTGTTAGCAATAAGATTTTAATATTAAAGAGAAATTCAGTACAACTTCTGTATTCACAGAGTACACATATTTACTTTTAGCCTTTGGAGACGGAAGAACTTCCGGGGACAAAACGCAAGACTGATGTTCTGCACATTCCAAAGGGCGTTCCTCTGTACCTGCATTTCCTGTTTCCATATATTCTGCAATTTAAAGATACACATACACTTAAACTCCTGAATGAAGGGGGTTTATTACAATCAAAAATATATTGTCTACTTTTATTTTTCCAAAGACTTTTCAATTTTTCCTATTACAACATTGTAATTATCCATAAACACTGCTGCAAGGCAATCATTCATTGAAAGCATTATAAAACACTATAATGGCCAGTTCTTCAAACAGTTGAAACTGTTACAGAAATCTCACTGTAGAAGTAATGAGTTGTGACTCTGTGTTTTTCCTGTCTCCTTGAAATATCTATAACTGTTCCATTACATTATTCTTGTTGAGTCTTTCACTCAAAATTTGTGATGAATTCTTAGTCAAGACATTCAAGATGTTCACAATAAGTATATATACTGACGCTATTAAGAAAACCAAATACAAACCAAATCTTGCAGTACAGAGATAGCACATGAGGAAAAAAAAAATTCAATCAAAAATGTAGCTAAAAGCTAGCAGCCTAAAAAGCAGTATTGTAAATTCTTGTGCTTTTTCTCCTTAAAGCTTTCGTTGTCCCACCTTCATGACAATGTTTATAAAACCAGAACAAATGTAGAATGATGAAAATGCTAAACTTCATTGCTATTATTTTTATGGAAATACATACATTACTTTCACTTTGTACACAGGCTAGCTCAATGAAACACCAACCCCTTAGTAAATGTTATTGTTGGACAAATATTAAATAATAAGTTAATTGTTAATTTATGCCTTAGTGGTGTTTTGGTTTTTTCCAGTAGAGTGTCTGGTTGTCAGATCAGGTAGATATTCTGCTGCTGCATTTTCTCGATTTTCTGAAAAATGTTCTTTCTGAACAACAGTACATGTTGCAACACACATAAAAGCAAACTACAATAACTGCTTTCATCAATATCACACTGAAGGACTACAAGACTTTCTGGGAAGTGAAACCTCTCTGATTTAATTTCTACAGTCTACAATGCACTTGTTTAGCTCACTGCTATTCCTGATTAAATAACAAATCCCCAAACCAAAATACAATCTGTGATAAAATAGACATCTGAGAAAATTAAATTGGAAATGGCAGAGAATTACACGCAGTTTCAGGATGCTCTTCACGTTGTTGGGTTTTTTCAAAAGAATTTATGATTTGAAAACGTCAATATATTAAGTCTGATGTTTAGCAGTGGTCCCCTGGATAATCTGCTGTACATTTCTTCATATGAAAATGGGCACTTCTATCTTTTTTGTGTAGTGATGGAAGCAAAGATGAGCTGTAAGAGACCATCAGAAAACCAGCAGCATGACAAAATGCTCTGGGATGTTTTCCAGTTCCGTCAGCTACATTATTTGTCAAGTTGATGTGCAAGATGGAGAAGGAGTGAAAAGAAAGCTAGATACAAAGAAAAAATAAAAGGAAAAGAGGAATTCACGCCTGAAAATATTTGCTTGGTAATTGTGCAACTGTCCAAAAGCAAAACTAAAATTAAGTTCTACCACAAGAGTGTTAAAATGATTGGATCAGTAGAGTTATTAAGAAATGAAATGGATGGGAAACTGTGAAGGACTTCAACCTTGCTGTCCAATACTTTAAAACCACAGTTTTGTATGAATAATACTCTATTTTTATTCTTTGTCAGTCCCCACTTTCACACCAATGTACTTATTGCTAAAGGCTAGTTCTGAGGAGGAAATCCCAAACTTATTATAGCCTCAAAAATACTCACTTTAAAAACTGCAGAGTTCCTTCCAGAAAAACTCTGCAAAAGACTCAGCACAAGGTACAGTGCATAGGTTTAGAATGGGACAGCAGCATGTCATCCTTGTAAGAGTGCAACCCTTAAAACTTTGGACTTCTGTGGGATTTCCACTTCTAACTTGTTTTTATGCTACTGAAAATTCTATCGCATACATATGAGACAATAAAGACATGACCACAAGTTGTGAGAGGCTTATAGTCTAGGTAAATATATCCTTACCCATAAGTCAGGCATGGGAATAGGCTGCCCAGGGAGGTGGTGGAGTCACCATCCCTGAATGTGTTTAAAGGTCTTTTAGATGTAGTGTTGGGGGAGATGGTTTAGGGGTGGACTTTGTAGAGTAGGATTAAAGGTTGGACTCGATGATCCCAAAGGTCTTTTCCAATCTGAATAATTCTATGATTCTATAATATTATCAAAGAAACAGACACAAAATGGGTGACCTACATCAAGAGCCAAAGACAAAGTACATACAAGCAGTGGATGCTTTCACCAGCACCTGAATTCTATTCACCTGCAGCTGCCTAGAAATTCGTCTTCAAAATCTGCCCAAACTTATTGAAAAAGGTGGTCCTGTTACCATCATCCACTCTGACTATGGTGTACTCAAGAGACTGGTCTAGACTCTATCAGTTTTTTCAAAAAAAAGAAAATTAAAACAAAGCCAAGCTTAGTCAATTACACCACTTAATGACCAGAAGTTTCCTCAGCTGTGGTCTCACAGAATTTAGAGACAAGCCTGTCATGACAGGGGAGAGTAAAGGGTGGCTGGGTCACTACCCATCAGATTCATAACACTTCCTTCACAACTTACTGTCATCCTGTTCCATGTTTCAAAGACAGACAGCATGACTAACACGTAAGGGGTGAAGGAAGCATATGTTAATACACACTTCAGAGATGTTTCCTCATGATACTGCTTTGGGAAAAATGGCAGTATTTTACCTCTGTTGACTCAATGGCAGATTACAGTTCAGTGAGGATTAATTCTAAGAATCTCAAAAACTTTGGCTGCTTAGGAGCATTTTTTTCTACGGTCATCTGATTTTAACAGAGCCCCATTCAATCAAAATAGGGCCATATGCACAAGTAATAGCATAAAAGTGGTCACACAGCAGTGGAAATAAAAGCAGTGGGGAATATGAACCCAAGAATGCAACAACCACTGGAGAATTCAAACAGCTGGAACTCCAGCTTTCTCAGTTTCTGTAACACCAGTTAGCTTAAAGCCAAGCAGAAAGGAAAGCATTAACACAAAAGCAGGAAAACACAGCTGCCTTTCCGCAGGGTGGCCAGAGTCAGGAAGGACAGACATGAAGAGAACAGCCCAGTTCAGCTGTTGCTGCTGCTGAATTTCCAGAGGCAGCAGTAAAGACCTAGGCTCTAGAATACAGCTTGCTTTAACTTCAGATCCACTATATCTTCATTCCTCAGTGAGGGTCAAAATTTTTGCTTTAAACTTTGGCTTTTAAAATAATGGCTACACTAGCCCCAGAGAACTTTTTACTTTTCCTTATAATGGAAGGCCACACCATGGGGTGGATTCACATAGAATTTCTCACTAGAGTGATTTCCTCTAAAGAGACTAACAGGCTTTTTAACCTCTAAAAAAACCCAAATTTGCTTAGAATAAAAATCTGAACACTCACCTTTTCAAAAAGGAGATTCAGCATGTAACTAGATCAGAGGAATAAATGGCTTAGAAACCACTCCATGGCTGATGTCCCTGCAGGGGGATCCCTACTCCTCCTTTACTCTATGTCTTCCTGAAGGGCAGCTATATCTTCAGAGTACCCTCTGCTCTCCCAGAACCTCACTGAGGATCCTACAGCTCCGTAGAGTCCTGCCCTAACCCATGAGCTGTCGAAAAGCTCCTCCCAAAACAGTTCACCTGCCCCCTGAGGAGTCCACCTGAGCCTTCATGACCCCATTCTCTTTACAGCAGCAGCAGCTACAGAAAACTTGGCTGATAATTACTACCATCAGGTGTGCTAAGGTGAACAGATTTGAGCTGAGATAGAAGATAGGCTGATTTCAGTCTCCTAAATTTCAGAGGACAACTCTGAATGCCTTGAATTTCACTTAATCCCAGAGAAAGCTGAAATCAGTAGACATTTAAGTTATAGGCACATGATGAGACCTTTGTGCACATGTTCAGGGAAGAAGCACTCAAGTACTGCTATGATCCTGAGACAGGTAAGGGTAGAGCTAAACTTTCAGTTCTTAAAACAACAGCAGTTAATTTTAATTCATAAACATAGTTAATACTATACAGCTTTGCACAGTAGCCTATAAAAGGAGCTAAGTCCCCAGAAATGAAAAAAAAACACAACAGAGGAGGACTGAGATCCCAGTTCTCTTCATCCTATACAGCTGTGTTTAAATCCTCGACTGAAAACCCATTCCATCCTTCCAGTGAGGCTGGCCCTCTGCACTCAAGGGAATGGAAGATGTACTTGTTCATGGAAAGAGAGGGAGAGAAAAGAAGAGTGAGAATACACAAAAGAAAAACAGTGCTAAGGACACTAAAGGGGCAGAGGGGTGAAGAAAGGGGCCCAGGTTCTGAGCTGCTTATGCATTTTCCATTTACGAATAATTTGGTAACTGTACAAACAATCTTAGGTTCTTAAGCAGCTTCAGCAAAAGAGAGAGGACACAGCTTTCCATTACATCTCCCTCCACATTGTCTCTGCAACAGAGCTTATTGTGCCTTCCCTGGGCTCGTGTAATTTTTTGCCTATTTATCTACTATCTCCTTTTTATCATAACAACAAGAATTCTGCTTCTAGAAATAGTAAAAGGGCATAGTGGGCTATGGAGAAAGAGTTGAACGATGGTATAGAATGCACCTGTGTCACGTTCACATGTGCTAAAACTAAAACACAGCTGGTTGGTTTAATTTTAGGCCTACTAGCCTTGGCAACATCCCTTTTATCTTCAATGCCTAATTATAAAGCCCTAAGTGCCAATACTATTAACTGCTTCTGCACTGAATGCTGTTATTTCACTACATCCATGAAATGCATCCAGTAGATTGGCCTTACTTGGCATAGTATTCTAATTTCCCAGTCTTTGAATACATACTGCCTGAACTGCTATTTTCTCATTACCACATAAAGAATCTAGACTGTAATAAGTATTTTTAATCGAATTCAATGCAACTCATACCTGAGCCAAATAGAGAAAAAAGATGGGACGTATATGAAAGACAAAGAATTAAAACTTCAACTGTCATTTCTAATAATTTCATCTATTACTAACAGGCAGTAAAAAACCATTCATGTGGTGTACAGCTGAGCCTTTTTCACAATTCTCTTTAAAATTATTTTATTTATTTTCCTTCTATCAGGCAACGCACCAAAATCTCAATAAAGACTTCGCAAACACAAAAATTTTTGCAGAAACTTCAATTACTGTTTTCTCAGGATAGTGAGAAAAGTAATGATCAAAAAATATTAGGATCACTTCTAAAACTTCACTCACAAAAGGTTTTGTTTCTTTTTAACCTACAATCTGTAAATAGTAGTTTTGTAAATACTCTTTAAAAAAAATGGAAACTTTTATCCACAATTCTTAAATCCTGGAGGCCTCATTCACAGGATGCTACCAGTCCTGGGGGGTTTAGTATCAGCTGAACAGATTTAGTATTACTGCTCCCATGAATTGCTTCTAAAGACATAAATTACTTTCTTCCCCTTCAAAAAAGTTTCTTATAAATATCCTCAAAACCAACTCTTTTTCTTCCAAAACTTCTTCTACAACTCCATTAGCCCTCTGCACACAGCATGGAACACTACCTATCAGGCCCACCTGTAATACCAGTCCCATTATTTCCTTATCTGTTTCTGCCAGTCATTTTATATGCATCTTTCAGCCTTTAATTTTGAAAGCTAATATCTTGTGGCAGGGACAAATATTATGCTATGCTAATACTATAAACTGCACAGTAATACTCATAACAATGAAAGGTAAAAATGGTAAAAATTAATGAGACTTCTAGGTGATAAAATCCTACTCTATCCTGGCAGCAAGGTGAAAGTACCAATTCAACGCCATTATGTCTGCAAAAAGAAAAAAAATAGAAAGAAACTTACAAAAAATGGTCAGTAGTTGTCTAATGTTGTTAATTTGATTTCTTTTTCTGGTAAATTTACATGAAGGAGACGTGAGCTTCGCTAGACAACCATATGAAGAAAGGAGCTTTAACATGAATTTATCTGGAAGGCACTATCTCTCAGCAACTGTCCTTTCTTTGCATAGAATTCATTGCAAACGGGAGTTGAACCCAACTACAGTACATTCAGGCTTCCCAAAATCCCAGTGCTTCACTGATTTTTTTTTTAGCTACAACAGGATAAATGCCCACACTTCAGTGAAAAGTACACTCAACTGGCTTTTTTAGAGGAGAGTAGGTCTATTGTACCATCATCAGTGCTAGTACTGAATCCTGCCGCTCCTGATTTTACTTTTCAGCTTCAGCTTGCTGTTCAAACTTTATATTTAACAGTTAAAGCTTCAGTGAACCCTCTGCTGATGAAAAAGGATCTTAGTGGGTTCCACAAGGGAATTCTGAAGGGGTTTCTCAGGTTTTCTTAAGGCTCAGAATGGCATTTTTGTAAACATTTCTCATCTTTGCACCATCACTTCTGATTATAAGGCAGACAGGGCAAAAATAACACAGCTTCTAGTTACAAGTACAGTTATGTCATAGTAATGTGAGCTGAAATTATTAAGCAGTCTTCTTTACACTTTGAAGGCACACATGTAAAGAAGATTACATGTCAAAGCATCAAAAAGCCTTGAAATTGATCTATTTCTTTTTTTGTGGTAAAAACTAAGGGCAGCTACTGATCCATCAATGTGACAAACCTTTGAGAGGGGTTTGAGTGCTCTATTTTTCAAAGAGCAACAGTACTTTAAAGAAACTTTGTTTATGAGTGGGGTTGAGACTGCAAGGTTATCACACTAGGAAAAAAATGGAACAATACAGAGATACTGACATAAAAATTAGTTTATCTGGTGATGGAGCATTATAATGAATTTTAGATTAACATCTGAAGGATGACTGATTTGGATGTTTAAGAAACTGGAAGTTCGGACTGAACTTTTTCCTGCCACTGAAGAATTTTCAGTATGGTATTAACCCTCTTTTCCTTTACGTAGTGATACATTCACATTGCAGATGAGTGAGGACATAAAAACAGAAGTTTCACCATATAGTTAGAGCCAAATTAGGAATTCCCTTCTGCTGATAGGAGGATGTCCTACTTCCCTCAGCCATATCTTCCTCCCCACTTATTGATGCACATTTCTGACAGTTACCTGGGACAGAGTTAACTCTGGGATCTGAATCACTTGACTTTTTTCTCTCAGTCTTCACCAGCAAGTGCTGCAGCCATACCACCTAAGTCACAGAAGGCAAAGGCAGGGACTGGGAGAATGAAAAACTGCCCACTGTAGGCCAAGATCAAGTCTGAGACCATCTAAGGAACGTGCAGGTACACAAGTTCATGGGACCTGCAGGTCCCGAGGGAACTGGCAGATGAAGTGGCTAAGCCACTGTTGATCATATCTGAGAAATTGTGTCAGCCTCGTGAAGCTTCCGCTGACTGTAGGAGAATCATTACCCCCATTTTTATAAAGGGAAAAAGGAAGACCCAAGGGAACTACAGGCCAGTTAGTCACATCACTGTGCCTGGCAAGATCATGGAGCAGATCCTCCTGGACAGTAGGCTAGGGTACATGAAAAATATGGAGGCGATTGGTGACAGCCAACATGGCTGACATATTTGGTGGCCTTCTATGACAGGATTACAGTGTTGCTGAAAAAGGGAAGAGTAACATCTACCTAGACTTGTGCAAAGCATTGGACACTGTCCTGCACGACATCTTTGTCTCAAAATTTGAGATAATATGCATTTGACAGATAGAGCACTTGGCAGATAACAAATTGGCTGGGTGGTCACCCTCAGAGTTGCAGTTGACAACTTGATGCATAAGTGGAGACCAGAGATGAGTGGTGTTCCTCGGGGGTTGGTTGGGACCAGGGCTGTTTAACACCTTTGCTGGTGAAATGGACAGTGGGATTGAGTGCACCATCAGCAAGTTTTCTGATGACACCAAGCTGTGTGGTCAACATGCTGGATGGAAGAGACTCCATCCAGCGGGACCTTGAATGGCTTGAGAAGTAGGCCCACGCAAACCTCAACAAGGCCAAGTAGAAGGTCTTGCACCTGGGTCAGGGCAATCCCAACCACAAATACAGATTTGGAGATGAGTGGATTGAGAGCAGCCCTGTAGAGGATGACCTAGATGTGTTGGTGGATGAAAAACTGAGTATGAGCCAGCAATGTGCACTTACAGCGCAGAAAGTCAATCACATCCTGGGCTGCATAAAAAGAAGCATGGCCAGCAGGTTGAGGGAGATGATTCTCAGATGATCAGAGGGCTGAAGCACATCCCCTGTGAAGACTGAGACAGTTGAAGCTGTCCAGCCTATAGAAGAGAAGGCTCCAGGAAGACCTTTCAATATTTAAAGGGTGCCTACAGGAACAAAGGGGAGGGAATCTTTATCAGAGAGTCTAGTGATAGAATGAGGGGTAGTGGTTTTAAACTGAAAGAGGGTAGATTTAGATTACATATGAGGAAGAAATTTTTTTCCGTGCGGGTGGTGAGACACAGGTACAGGTTGTCCAGAGAGGTTGTGAAAGTCCCCTCCCTGGAATGTTCAAGGCCCAGTTGGATGAGGCTTTGAGCAGCCTGATCTAGTGGACGGTGTCCCTGTCCATGTCAGGTGAGTTGGAACTAGATGATCTTCAAGCTCCCAACCCAATTCCCAACTATAATTCTGTGTATTTTATATATTACTGGTTCATAAACTGAATCAGATCACTCCTAGAAGGAATAGGAAAGGGAACTGTGTAGCTGTAAGAAGGGTAGGAGAAGGCAGGGGAAGGGGAGAGGGAAAAAAGAAAATAGGAAGGATGGAGAGAGGGAAACATCAAGGCAAGCTATTAATTCAGTTCAGCTATAACACGAATCTGCTCCTTAAGAGAATACCTCTCCTCCAGCCTGTATAATTTGCATTATACTTATAGGAGCTTTGTATCTTCAGTCCACTATCTCACTGGAAAACTTTACTGACGCTTCCAAGTATGGAAGTTACTCAGGAAATAAAATCTGAAGGACACAGTGTGGCCATATGGCCTCATTTTCTCTAGGAAATATTCTTATTAAATACAGTTATGCAGGCAGCCGAAGCATGAGCTAGTTCATATTCAGAACTAACACTGAACTGATTAAAATGGGTTATTTAAAGATGGGAATAATCAATAGAGGTGGGGATGCAGCAATGATACCTGCAGGGAACTCCTCTATCAAATACAGTTAATGAAGGCTAATCTCAAAATGTAGGGAACAAATTCCATAGAAGAGAAGGAAAGATACTTAACACTAAGTTATGTACTAGCTCCTGCTTCATCACTTTAGTGCCATCTTCTAGGGCAAAAAAATTGAAGTAAACAATTTTGTTACATAAGCCTTACACCATGAAAATGAGGAATAAGAGCAAATGTATGTATGAGAAAATTGCATTATTTCTGCTATAACAGCAAGAGTTACTGCCTGGTTTATTTTTTTTTAATATAAGGAAAATGAGAAAAATGTAATGAAATATTTTGAAAATTTCCTACGATTTTTAAGTGATAGCTGTAATCTATTAACAAATACAGCTTTTCAATTGTAGTTTACCATCACAATTTAAGGGAACTGCAGGGAAATATTAGAATATGTTATTTTCTAATGAAGAATGCACTAAGAGTAACTGTGATACACCATGGTAATGTCTATTGTGTGAAAAGGAGAACGAGTTTACTCTGAAATTCAGATATACAACCGCTTAATTTTCTGTAACTACCAAACACAAATTTTATCTTTTTAATCTGAAAGACTACTCTTTTGTATAATGAAATATTTAAAGAGTAGAAATTACTATCTTAATATTCCTCCATGCTATTCTGATTTGTCTCTGAAGAAAGTATAACTGGATATGACTTACCTTGAAGTAGAGCTGCAATTTGAAGTGACTGCTGAGATGGATGTTCTTTAAGAATGTCTAAAACCGTTCTACCCAAACTGTCCTTTATGTTGGTATCAATTCCTGAAAAAAGAAAATTATCTGTGGTAGAATTTTTAACCTCAAGTACTTCAAATTATAAATGTGGCATATCAGACTCAATTATCTGGCAAACTGAATGCAAGAACTTCTACAACTGTAGCAGATTAACAGCTGTGTTATAGATGAAGTACAGCAACCATTTCTGTTTAAAGCTTGAGTAGCCTAAAATTCACATGCTGACATGGATTGGTTTTATGCTTCTGCAACCCATGGGTATAGAAAATAAGTTTCTTAAACCAAACTTGGGATTATTTTAACACTCTGTTCCTAAGAAATAGCCATCCTGTCCATATTATTTTATAAAATCAAGAAATTCTCTGAATGTTTTTCTCTTACATACCTGAATTCTGATTCTACCCAAACTGCTCTGAATCATTGGGGATTTTCTAGTCTATAGTACTAGTATGTGTTTTGTGAGCAACACCAAAAAGACTTATCAACCTTAAAAGTTTCATACTTCATGGTGACATGTTTCAAATTCAGGCTCTGAGTAGACTGAAATACTCACATGTAGTATAAGGGCTCTGTGAAAAGCCAGAGCATTTTCTCACAAGCTGGTCAGATTGTTGACAAAGTAATTGCTTGGCTCAAACTGTGACTGCAACCACAAATAAGCTTGAGGTTTATCCTGGACAGGTCTCAGACAACCTGTTGTACATGACATTGCATGACTCTCCACCTTTGTCTTGCAGGGACTACTTCAGAAATGTTTTCCTTATAGTAGAAGATTTATATTGCTTTTTAGTTTAGATGCACTTTGATAAAAAGTAAAGGCATGGAAGGCCCTAAAAAATAGAATCAGATGCTTCTCAGGATGCTGAATAGCTGAAATCAGAGGGAGCAGTATTTGTAAGGACATTCTGGAAGAGTGGACGGATTTCTCTACTGACCAGAAAAGGCTGAAGTTCTTGTCATTTCCTGATGTGATAGTTTCCTAATTTGTTTTGTGAGAAAGAGATATTTATTTTTTCACTGAAAATGAAGCCAAAATATCACTCGGCTAATTAGCAGTGGCAGCAGATTTTCAGAAGCTGGACACACAATGTACACCTTTTCTTTGCAGTAACTAATTATGACATCTTCTGAACCATTTTTGAAGCAGAAATAGGGAAAAAGTGATTGTTAGATAAAAAAAGCAGAAGGTGAGGAGTGTTGCCAAAGTGTAGAGAATTCGGAGTTGAACGAGTTCAGAGCAAAGATTCTATTCCACTGTCTTGTACAGCTGTATTCTGACAGAGGCTATAATGTGTTCTAATCTATGAGAGATATTCTTTATCAGTGCTTAAAGGGCTTCCTATGTTTGTGTAGTGTTCTCCACTCCTTTCTCTTTCAGGTGAATTAATATAAAAAGGCCCTGCCTTTTTGAGGGCAGGTGAAGTTAGATCCGTTTCAGCAATCTTCTTGCTCATCCAAACAAGAAAGCACCTTGAAGGGACCTTTTTTCTGAAAATAGATCTCAGATCAGGTATACACTACCTGAGATTCAGATTAGGAGCTGTGAGTAGGACATACCTTCTTTTGCAATATACAACCCTAGAAGCACTGATAAAAAAAGATTAATGAGATCCCTCAGTGTAATAGAAGTTCATGTATCTCAGAGAAATAATTTCTATATATTTTCATTTTCAATGCTCTTCTCAATTATCTGGGAAGACAGTTGTTTAGATGAGTAATTTACCAGCAACAATTCTGAAAGTCTTATTATGAAGTGGAAGGGTTTGTTGGGCCTCTACATCCCTAGGCTCCTGTCCTTTCGGGAAAAATAAAATTCTCAGAGGCACAGTGCCCCCTTTCTTCACAGGCAGTCTAAGTTTATCCAGGAAATGATGAGGAAGCAGGATGGTGTGTTTGTTGGCAATAGCTAAGTGAAAGACTTAAATGCGAACATGAGTCTTTGGGCTCCTAGATCAAAAAATATTCTTGTCTTTCTTTCAGAGTGAATAGTAAAATATTATGCAGCCATTTTGTTCTAAGAATACATTTATTCTCAGAACACAGTGGCATACACTGAGTCATATATGGAACTTCTGAGTCTTAGGGAAAACATTCTTTTTGTTCTCTGCGTATAGTAATTTCTTATTCTAGAATACTGTTTTAAGGAGAGGTACATGTGATTAGATTTGCAAAGGCTAAGAAAAATAACAGTAATTTGCATAACCAAAACTTGAGGATGCACATACCAGATTAGGAATAGTAACATTTGTTCAGTTTCCTGTAAATCAGATTTACCTGTCTCAAGCAAAATGCGTACTACCTCCACCTTTCCGAACAGGGCTGCTTCATGTAGTGCACTCCCTTTTTCTGTCTAGAAGAAAAATATATTGTGACATTTAAAATGCAAATTAAAATATCAATGAATCCTTTCGAAAACAATACATTTAGAAAAGAAGTATTTATTCTACTTTATCTACATGTAAAAAACACTGAATGGGTAAGAACAAAAACTGCTGTAATTTTTAAATTATTATTCAAGATAACAACATAAATGCTGTTAGTTCTACTATAAAATCAATAACTACATAAGAAAATATATAGGGATATTATATGACTGCCGATTAATAGGCCTGAAATTGTGTAAAATTTTAAACCTCCTATTATGGGCTTTAAAATCTAGCCAATACTATCAGTGGAACATGGCTGTTAGCAGAGTCAGACAGTTAACATGTGGACATCTACTCTTCGGTGTTTTAATCTGAAATTTGATTACATCCTAGGTCAATTCAGTTGCCTGGTGAAAGATGCCCTAGGATACCCCACCTGGCCTCCAGCTGATGTTCCAGCTGATCCTCATATTTGATCTGCATCATATCTGCCCCATACAGATGTCTTGGATACCCTGAAGACACCACCAACAGCATGAGATGCCTATGCTTAGATCATTTAAATTCTACCTTAGATGTCTGTGAACCTGATTTTGCTGATATCTGTGACACAAAATCTTTTGTGAATGGACTTTTGCTCCAATAAAATTCACAGTACTGAAAAACAAACTATCTCTCTTAGCAAGCTACTTTTCTTAGTATTTTATACTGCTGACTTTTACTGAAAAATTTGAAAGAATGCCTCTCCATATAATAGCATTAGTACTAGCTCAAGTGCTACTAGATGTCACTTAATCTCTGGCTCATCTCCTTTTTTTTTGTTGTTTTGATAATGAATTAGATTTTGAATGGGTTTTATTTGTGGGCAAATTTTAAAGGTTTTACCGCTTGATTATTTCTTTTTCTGTATTTTATCCAAATGCACCATTGTCATGCTTGCTATGGCGAAAAGACACACAAAAAATAACTCTGAAATAAAATAATGACTCATTATTTATTGGTTGTATGAGAAATGCACTAGTGTTACATCAATGCAATGACAGGATATTTAGAGGTAATCAGAGACCCTGAAGTGGAATGTGAGCACACAGTAAGTGTACATATATCCTACCAATTGAGCCTGAAAACTCTTTGTTATGTTAGGAACACTCACTTTTTATCTTTCTTCATACTTACTACATGGACGTATAAAGTAGAGTATGCCCAATGTCATTTACATCCAGCACATCAGGTATACTAACAGTATAACGGAGAGGAGAAGGAGGTCAGTAAGAGAATAGACAAAGAAAAACATATCTCAAAATAATTTTTAATCTTTCCATTTTCAGAAGCAATCCAGATGAACATTTACAGACTTATTCTGAACAAGAAGACTAAATATTCAGATTTACTTAGAGATGTTTTCAGAATCCGTTATCCTAACAACACCTAGAAGAGCTTTCCGGTAACCGCAATTGAACTTAACACTGGATAACTCTGCCATGGCATAGGATAACCACAAAGGTACAGCCAGAGCTTAAGGTGCAGCTCAGAAATTGCTGTGAATGAAAACAGTTCTCAGAAAAGTCACTGATAGCTACAGGTCTGATCACTGAAAAAGACTTGACAGCAGCAATGTTGAAAAAGGCTTTGACACAGCCTCTTATCCTCTTCGGTATTGGTGTGGATATGGCATTTCCTTTGGATTGGTCATTTACTGACACGAATAAATTTCAAGACTATTGTGTGGACCTGGTTCTATTAACATAGAGTTCCCTCTCAAAGCATATGTGAAGTACAGCTTTGATTCCTGAAATATTTAACTTTGGAAAGACAGATGGTAAAATTCAAAAGCCACAATGGGAAGAAGTTTGGCACAGTAACCTGCCAGAGAAAAACACCAAAACAGAGGTTCAATCACAAGTGATCACTCACTTTTTTTTAAGAGAAGTGGAATGTCTGTCTCATATTTGAACATATTTACTACAGTTGAACATATTCTGTCATATCTGAACATGTGTCAGCAATGTGTCCTTGCAGCAAAAAGCTAACAGCATTCAAGGCTGCATTAGGAGTGTTGACAGCAGGTAAAGGGAGGTGATCTTCCCTTCTTTCCAGCACTGGTGAGGCCACATCTGGAGCATGCTGTCCAGTTCCAGGCTCCCCAGTGTAAGACAGATATTGAGCTACTGGAGAGAGTCACTCAGATGATCAAGAGACAAGAGCATCTCTCCTATGAGGAAAGGCTGAGAGAGCTGGGACTGCCTAGCCGAGACAAGAGGAGGCTCACAGGGGATCTCATCAATGTGTACAAATATCTAAAGGGAGAGTGTAAAGAGGACTGAGCCAAACTCGATGATGTCCAGCAACAGAAGAGGTAATGAGGAAAACATGAAACCCATGAGGTTCTGTTTGGGCATAAGGAGACATTTTTTCCAGTGTGGGTGACTGAGTCCTGGTATAGTTTGCCCAGGAAAGTTGTAGAGTCTTGATCCTTGGAGATATTCAAAAGCCATCTGGGCACAGTCTTGGACAACCGTGTTCAGGTGACCCTGCCTGAACATGAGGGTTAGACCAGAAAACCTCCAGAGCTCCCTCCCAAACTCAACTATTCTGTGATTCTGCCAGGGATAATAATTAGTGATGTATACACCAACTACAAAATCCACAGAGGTTCAACTGTTATAGGAGGCCTAAACGCTAAATTTTAGTCCTACTGAGGACGAACTGCAGAGCTGGGAACCAGCTGCACCTTGACTAAAGTTGTAGAGATCATTCTGTATTAATATTAATAAGGAATCTTTTAAATGGAAAAAAAATGGACATACTTTAGTGACAATAGCTATCTAGAATTCATTGCTGTGGAAGGATCTAAGAGTGAGAAAGAATAATGTTCCATCAGGCTGAGTCAATAGCTTTGAGGACAAGGAAGAGGATCTGTCCTCAGACCCCTCAGTTAGGGTGGAAAAGATCCTGATATGATAATTGTCAGAAGTGACAGCAGCCCTTTCTGTTGATCAAAACTCCCCACTGGAGGAAAGGTAAGTCATACTTTCCTTGATGAAAGCATACTTCTCATAAGAAATGCAATGAAAACAGACATGAAAAGAGGAAATTTCCTGTAGATGTCTAAGGCAAACAAATCTCTCTGGGGACAACTTGAGAGACAAAAGATAGTTCTGTAACAACGAACCAAAGACACCTACATACATAATACATAGTGTTGGGAGAGTAATCCAAAGCCAAATGCCATTTTTTCATTTTATACTTTCTCTGCTGTGATATCTCCTGTCCAATCTGAACATGATCCTGAAATGCTTTACAGGCATTCTGGCATGTCCTGAATTTATAACTTCAAGCTGTCAGACAATGCTAATGAATGCCATTTCCCAGAAATGAGATATATATTACAGTCTATTCAAAAGAGGAATTTGAAAGGCACACCATATAAACAAGGGAATCTCTCCAATATACAGGTGAGCAAAAGGGGAAATATTACCATGGAAATGAACTAAAATCAGTCTGGGAATGTGGAGATTGAAAGCACACTTGTAAGATGCAGATGTGTAAACCTGCATGAGATGTCATGAAGATGAATGCTGACGTAAATCTTAAAAGCCCTAGGCAGGATTTCATGGTAATAGTGAATAACTAACAAGTCAGTCAGATTCCTTGACCCAAAAACTGTCCAGAAGGCAGAAATGTCCTTGTTATCAGAGTTCGGTTACCAAATTCCATTTTAACATAGGGAAAATACTTAGCCTCAGGATGAACAGGGCTAAGAGAAACTCATAGGACTGGCTGAGTAGATATATATCTCTTTGTAAATGTAAATGTGGCCTACTACTTGCAGGTAGAAATAATGTTGTTGGTTTGGATTTTTTTTTTCTAGTGCAATAGAGCATGTTACACAAATTAGAAGGATTGAAAAACGTAGTTGCAAATCATCTCTATATAGTACTTAAGATATGCTAGAATTTTTTAGGTAGATCTGTACCTATGCTCTAATATACACTCGTCGTCTATACCGCAGCAAGAGAACTTAATCTTTATATACAATATTCACCACTTTACTTCCTGAAGCCTTCATTGTTTTGGATCATATTTTCCTGGCAAAGTGAACACTACTGTAAATTATGGAAATTCTTCCACAGTGATAATTAATGCAAAAAGTGCTGGTATTTGTTCATGAACACAGTGAGCTAAAGTTTGCCTGAGTTTGCATCAGTGCATTATATACTGATTCCCTGGCATAAGATTCCTGTATATAAAATATAGAGAACTACATCACAAATTGTGCTAAGCATATAATAAACCAGCCCCTGTCCCAAGTAGCTTACAGCTAAATACAGGTACAATGTCACAGCTGGACACACAAAGCAAGCAAGGATAGAAGGACATTGTCAGTAGGAACACCAGGATACACAAATCAACTTGGCGTGCAATTTGCAGGCTCACATAAAAGCATCAAGGGTTTTATTAATTAGAGAGGGGTTTTTTAACTATGCAAATATGCAAGAGCTTCTAATTAGGTCACTTGTCTAGTCCTTATTCATATGCAGTTTACTACAGTTTTGTTATGGATTTCAGGCATAATCTGAAGGACAGAATGGTGGCTTTGCAAGTTGATTCACGGAATATCCTCCATACACAGTAACAGCAAAAAGGAAGGGTCGTAGCTCATTGCAGAAGAACTACAGCGATAAGCAACGGAAATTGCCATCATCAGTGGAACAGACAGGGAAGGCAAATGGGAGAGATGAAAGCTGGATAAGCAGAAGGGGCCAAGTTTTTAAGGTATTTACAACTAGAAAATTACTGTTTACATGAAACACACTGAACTGTGTAGTATCTTATTTTACTGAGGGCCCAAAATCTATCACTCACCCAAAACCTGTGTATTTTTCATATGTTTCAATTTAAATGAAAACTTCAAAGCATAAAGAGATGAAGCAGATTTGTATTGCCCACTTCTAAATAATTTCAGATTGAAGGATATTGGATAGACCTGGGAAATGAATAAAATGTGTGATTAATTCAATCAAAAATGAAATGCTGTCTATTATTAGTCCAAATATTTGCTATGATTAAAAGCGCTCAGGGAGTACAGCAGAGAAAGATAACATGGCTAAAGTAAACTTCCTATTTAAATAAATAAATATTTACAGTTACAGAGTGATAGCAGATAGGCTACATCTATAATTGTTTCTCAACATTCTGAGAGGTCTCAACTGCTGATAAGCTGCATTTATTTAATGTGTACAAATGTGTACAATTTTATTTACCACACAGATTTATACTTTGTATATTGTTATTTCCCAATCAGTGATGCAGAGCAATTTAATTAATATTAAAAGAGCTGAGTTCAGTTTTAAGTAACAGGCTGATACTGTATGTTCTGCTCAGTTTAATAAGCTGCCTGTAATCATCAACCAAGAATTTTTCAGAGGTTACAGAAATAATAAGCTAACAATATGTACAGAGCCAAATTGCCAATATGCTAAGATGCTGAATGAAAAGGAACATATTGATGGAGAATATGTATACCGGTGAAAAAATAAATAAATGATATTTTCTTATGGCAAGTAGGGCAAACACAGAAGAAGCAAGATTACCCAGTGCAAAAAATAATATAAAAAATTAAAATAAAATAAAATATAAAATAAAATAAAATAAAATAAAATAAATCCCCCTGCCTAAGAATAACTAAGAAAAGTAAGAATATAAATTACTTGAAACAAAATAGAATTTAAAAAAAAAAATTGTTAGAATTTTAGTCTAGATGACAATCAGATCACCATTACCAGAAGAATCTGTCATTTCTTAAAAGAAGACTGCACAGAATTTTCAGCCACTATATGCTTTAAGACCAGCAAAAAACTTTTGGTATAATTATAGATAGAAATGGCTTAGGAGAATTCACAGTAATGCTAAAATTATCTAGATTACATAAGAGGCAGAAGATATTTCATAAAAGCATGTGTAATATTCAACCCTCATGCAACCATCAATTTGTAAGTTGCATGACAGAGACTACTTTTCTTCAATTACACTATTTCTTAAGCATCAATTCAGGCATCAGTTTCTTTCTGACTTTTTCCTCATTCATTTGCTAGAGCTAGAAATTTTGCTTTCAGAAACATGTACTCCCAGGCTCCATTATGTGTTGCTTTAGCATAAAACTTTTCTAAATTACTGAAGATGTAGTAATAGTAAAGAACAGCTGAAACAAAAGAGCTGCTTGTATTAACCTTCACAAGTCTATCACTTTTTAATAAAGAAAATGGAAAACAAATTTAATTGGAAGCATAATGGTAGGCAAATACAGAAGTAGGCATAAGAAAAAAAAGTGTTTCAGTCTGAAATAGTTTGAAACAAGTAACACTAACTCAAAAGATACTAGAGCTAATAAAAGCAGCAAAACAATTTTAACACATTTTCTTTTTGAAAGCATTTTAGAATATCCATTTTTATTCTTAAGATAAATTAATATTTTCTGGTTTGCTTTCTGGGTTTTGTTAAATCTATCTTTTCTTTCCTACTTCACATTCTTTTCCTCAAAAGTTGAAAAATGCAACCTTGATGGAAAAATATAGAAATTAACAAAAGTGCACGGAATCCAGGTGCAATCTTTCTATATAAAAGGTAATTACGTGTACAAGGGTGTTTGATTAAATACACATAAAGCTTAAACTGGTTATAAAACTTAGTCAAAGCTTAGGCAAAGTTCACAAGGTTTACTGAGTCACCTGTTGGTAAAGAATGCCTGGATGCGACTCTAAGACAGATATAAGTATGTCTCGTTGGTTGGTTTATCCGAAAATATGTATGAAGCTGAGAGAACCTTAATTCAAAGCATATTATAGATACCCAGACAGTAAGAAGACGTCTTTAAATCTGAAGATAAAATACACTTTGAACTCAAATAGAGTATCATCAAATTTAGAGAAATCATAAAACCGAGGAAGGAGCTCACACGTAACAGAAAAAGGTCCTCTGTAGTTTAAAGGCTTGGACACCCTCCACTACAAAGAAGGAGACACTTACTGTTGCTGTCCCTCATATCTGTTTCCATCTGTGCCTCATTTACCCATTTTACACCATTATAACTTACTGAGGATTGAACTAGATGCACCAGACAGCTAACAGGTTGGAGTCAGTAGCTGCAAGAACGTATTACTACGGAATTTTCTTTTCCATTTATACAAGTGTTTAGAACAGCAGAAAAATCAAAATTACTGTTGCTTAGCAGCTTTGGTTTCATAATGGAAAAACCCTGGGAAAATGAGTTCTCATTCAAACATTGTTTCAGACTGCTATGATCATTAAGGGCCACAGCTTTAGCAAGTCAGCTTAGTATCATTAGGGCCAATATGATTTTTATATCTACCTGTCTCAAGACAACACTATAATACACACTCAGCTTTGAAGATAGATCTTGAGTTATACCTTTGAACACATTATTTGGGTCATAAAAATAAATTGCAGCATTTCTAATGAATACAAGTGCATTTTAAAAGAAAAAAATTAAGAAGTTTTTCATTTGAGTCATTTGAATCCTAACGATAAGGAAAGTAAGGAAAGAAAGGAGGAAAGGAGGAACAAAAGCAAGAAATTACACACTAACTTGGCAGCTGACATCCATTCCAGCCTCGAGGAGCACCTGTACCACAGCTTTGTGGCCGTTTCGTGCAGCAAGATGCAAAGGAGTGTGTTTTCTTGTATTACAGTTCATCAGGTTTGGATATGCTTTGATGATCATTTTTACAACACGCAGACGTCCGTAAAGTGCTGCCAGATCCAAAGGTGTTTCTAGTTTGTTGTTCCTTATTGTAGGGTCTGTTAGCTCCTCTAACAGAACAGCAACTACTTCCGAATGACCATACTGAGCTGCACAATGCAGTGCCGTTTCATTTTCATTGTTCTGTTAAAACAAAACAACAGCTTCAGAAATTCACGTTTAATTACACAACAGAACTGCCTGGCTTCTGTAAATTGCCTCCATGAGAACACTACACAGGCAGGGTTTGCAATATAATGTATGGTAATGTATGTTAAATGCTTCAGAATGACTCCACAAAAATTTTACTAATAATATGTTAATACTTCAGCTTTGTGGATATCCAGCAGATAAGGCCTCTGTGTGTCACTTTATCAACATGCCCCCCAAAACCTTGTTGCTCACGATATGTCAAAATCTGTAACCCTGTAACCCTGTCCCTGAAATCACAGCCGAGTCCTTCTCTTAGAAATATTCTGACACTTAAGTCTCTTCTCTCAGTTTAACTGTTTTTAAATCATAGTTTTTTGATAACAGAGTGGTGAAATTACAGAGAAAGACTATTTAATTAAAACATATTAGGCACAAGGCTACTTTCATGTATCGCCACAAAAGTTACTATCAAGACAGTAATCAAAGCTCGGAAGAAGGCAAAATAGTAACTATAGATAACAGAAAAACTTAGCATATCATGTAAGCAGCCAGTCTTCTTGGGACTCCAGGGAGATGTATGTGTGCATTTTAAGGCATATGAGTATTTGTGTGTTTGGATGGAATAAGTTTCTGCTTTATAAAGCAATGTCCCCCAAGTCTTTCCCCAAACACTATTTAATAATCTTAAATAAATATTGAGAATAAGCAGTAGTATCCTCAATTGTTTCCCTCCCGTTCTGCCGGTATATTTGCAATCCTAAACAGACAAATAACCTCAGCCAGAGAGGAAGGAAATAATTCATAGAGCTCTCTGAATTCTATATGCCATCGATATTATTCATATATGTTACATAGTCTCTATGAAGCCTTAAAGTAGGCTAGTCAATATATATTTTAAAAGTATGCACATTGAATGCCTTTTCTGATATATGATTTATAAAATGTTGTGACAGTTTTGAAAATGTTGTATAAGTAGAAACCCAGTAAGTTAACATGACATATATAAAAATAAAATAATAATGTAAATTCCAAAAAGATACTAGAGAAGGGTTAGAAATATAATTCTAAAGAAAGGAGAAGACATAAATCGGAATCCCTAGGCTGTATTTCTCAAGGAAATACCGTAGAAAGTTCTGGGGACAAAGAATTGAAAATAGAAAAGAAGATTTGCCTTTTGAAAGAGCGAATGGGTGGAAGAATCAGAGAAATGAGGCTTTGGCCTCTTACTCAAAAGATAGGTAGGATTAAGAAAATCTGTGTTGCACAGTAATATCTCGAAAGGTGGAAAGAAGGAAAACTTCTTTTTTTTTGGTAACAATGTTTCTAATTCCATAACAAAGAACTTGTTCTTGTGTTTGTGGTTTTAACAACATTGCTGTCATTTTCATCTCATTGTGTAACTTAAAATGACTCAGGCGAACCCGGGAGACAGAAGAGACAGATCAATAAATTAATGTTGCAGATAAACTCTTCGATACCACACAAGATCCCAGAGAAGACTGGAGTGTTTCCTGCTAAACTGCAAGACAGAAGCTGGAGAAGAGTCAGGGAGAAAGTGAAAAGCTTCCATTGGCTGACACAGCTTGATGACAAATAAGTATTTGACTTGTGCATTATTCAGACCACCACGTGGTCTTTTTCTATTACATAGACTGCAAATTCAAGTTAAAATATGAAGTATCATGATACTACATGGCTGCAACGATCTATCAATGACCTGTGATATGCTTTTTGTGCTCTAATGACTTCTAACGTATCCTTTACACAGGATTGGGCAAAGCAAATATTTTTGTGAATGGTGGTATACCCGCAAATCACAACCATAGTTTATTAGAATTTCTTTTTACATTTTCAATATTTCATGGATAGAACTGCATAGATGAACAGGCAATTGCAGTCTAATTTTGTGTACATTGCCCACAATTAAATTGAGCACGGTGCTGGTAACAATGACCAACACCGAGTTCGCAGGTTCGATTCCCACTTGGTCCCCATGTATTGTCAGGTCTAGTAGAGAGGTGGCGTCCCTGCCCAAAACAGGGAGGTTGGACTAGATGATCTGTAAGGTCCCTTCCAGCCTATGCCATTCTATGATTCTATGATTCTATGATAATAGCACATAAAATGGCTGATTATGGTAATTTGCGCCCACAGCTACTGTATTTACATAGCCAATGGAAATAGTTACACACAAAAAAATAGATGTATAACTATATCCACATTCTTTGAGGTAAGTAGCAAAAATAGATGTTTACAGATATATCTATTCACCCAGTATCTGCTTATGTTTGAATTCTTTTCAAGCATTTCTAGATATTATGTAAGGTATCTGGAATCTTGTGCCAACAGTCTAATTCTGTTGTTTAGAGTATTCTGATTAAATTTTCAAATAGACATAAAAATTAAATCGGCTACAGCCTTCTTCTCAAATTGTGGTAACTGGCCAAAATTTCAGCCACAGATATGGACACATAGAGACCAACTAGTCCAATCACTGCTGCTTCACAGCAAATTGAAATTCGCTCCTTCTGAATAAAGAAATCCAGCTGAATTTTCATGCAAGGGCACTTGAATGAAATTTTATTATTTTCAAATTAATATTGTTGAACATTTTTGTATTGTTTGTTTCTTTGCATTTGCCAAATTAAAGCTAGATTTTACTTAATGACAAATGGAACTGATTCCAAACAAAAAAAAGAACTAGGTATCATTGGAATAAAATACATGAATCCAACCTTAACAAATATAATTAAATTATCTGCACATATGCGGTTAGAACAGACTTTGTATATATTGTGTTATCAGAGCTGAGATGTACTACCTAATTAAAACTTAATAATACAACATCCTTCCCTCTTTAAAATGTAAATTAATCACCTCAATGTATGTATAAAAGACAGAATGATTTTTAGCTTTCAAAAAAGAGAATTAAAACTTGTTTAACTGCCCTCTAGATTTATCCACTTTGACAATTTAGTACTACTTACATGAAATAAATCACCTTGGAAGCAAGAGGTTTTATTGAGGAGAGAGGATAAAGTATTTAAGTAGGTTTTCATAGCGTCTGTCATCTTCAAATTTAGGAAAAGGGGGAATGCCTACCAGACAGACACAGTTGGTTCAGCATTCCCACAGAGACCCTTAATATGGAGGAGGCTATAACCGTGTATTTTCTGGACTGGAGGATACATTATCTTCCTCTTCTCATCCCTCATAGAAAGATGGACATGGATGTCTCAGTGTTATGAACTTACTCCTTAAGGCATTTGTTTACAGAACACATACAGTAAGAATAAGAAAAAAAAAAAGATGGTATTTTAGGAGTTGAAGTTATATGACTTCCTTGCTAGTAAAACTTCTGCCTTGTCTTTTGTGCAGAAGAGGCTAATCCAGGTGTAACTCTATTGGTTTTAGGTACTGTTTGTCCTAATTTCTTTAAAATATACTATTATTCTGGAAAAAATATTAGAAAAATATGAAAAAATATTCTTGAATAAATTAATAACACTTCAGTGATATTGCCTACATTTTCACTCTCAGATGTAAACAGATGTTTTGGGAGAAGGGAAAGTTTATATGGCAACATTCACTGCAGTGAGTAGTTAACCCATGTAAAAATACAAATGTCTGCATGCAAGTTACCATTAGATCCCCAGATCTGATATCCAAGGGCTAAATAATGCATCTAGTGCCAAAGAAGAAGGGTAGAATGCTTTCAGAAATTACAGATATTTCATTACATATTGGCAACCACAAGATAGATCCTAAGAGTGAACGAGTCAAGAAAAAGAAAGATCTAGCAATCAGAACCAAGACATAAATTTAAGAAAAAAAGAGTAAACCAATGCCATGCAAAAATAGTATAAAACAGAAGACTCTAATATTAATAACTAATAATATTTTAACCAACTCCTGCATAGCTGTACAGTCCTTTGGTTTTGCCAAGCAAATTTGAAAGCTCCTAAAGTCCATGCAAGTACTGTACAAGCAACAACGACTCTCAAGTAGTGACTTTAGAGACCTTTCCAAAGAATGCTCAACTCCTTCGCAATCTAAGCATTTTGATGATGAGCCTGAAAAGGGAGATTTCCTAAATCACCATTTCTCTGACATATAATCCCAATGCCAAGTAAGTGAACATGACATTTTTTTACGAAAAGCTTTGTGGTGCTGCCTCAGTTATGAAAGAACTATTTAAGTTAAAGAAGGATGGAACAATGGAGTTTGTAAAAGTCTATCTATATACCCAATACACTCAAGAATAGTCGGCTAGAGAGAAAAAAAAAAGATAAAATTAAGGTTTTAATGATTAAAGAATTAAATACAGGTAAAACAAATAAAGAAACAATATAACCATGACAGAGAAAGGCATGATCTCAGGATGGTCACTAAAACAGGAAGGCAGTTTCCTAAGAAGTTATATCAATATAAGTTAATCATGGTGAAAAAAACAAGGAAGTTTGCCTGATGGATTCAGCAAGTAGCATGTCACTGTATTTAATTACAGTGGGAATGAAATGGCTATCCTGGATGTCTAGGGCAAAGACTGAACAATGTTACAACAGAAACACAGCCAAGAATCAGGAGAGATCTTGGGAACAATATTGTGAGTTTATTGTCTGCCCTTTTTGAGGAAGGAAATGGGGTTTTACACAGTGTACAGATATTTACAGTTTATATGGAAAAATAACTGATGTATTCTTCTTCCTATCATGTCACCAATGAATTTGTCTAATTTGAAAGTCATGAAAGTAATAAAAAGCCCATAATTTCCATTATCGAATGTTCTCTTAAACACAAAACTGAGTATTAGACTTTAGGCATCTCTGATGTTTCCAGATATATTTTCAAAACTGATTTTAAAATCAAAACATTTAAAACATAACTAAATAATTGCCTTTTTTGTTCTGTTACAACTGTAATTTTACACACACAGAATATTCTTCACAACCTTGCTTACATTAAAAAACTTAGAAATCTGAGAGTTCATA